TTGAATTAAAACCATTGGAATAATAATTTCTTCAAGTAGATACGGTTTTAATTTATATTGTGGTTAGATTATTCTGCACACTAAACGCTTTGTTTGACAATCCCAATTACTCTTGCTTAATGGTTTAAATTTATTGCCATATTCATTCTTTAAGCCTAATTTATGCTGTCAATGAACTGAAGCAAATATTTGAATGTCTGAATAGCAGTTTACCTAAACATGCCTGGATCCCGAAACATAATAGTTTTATTTATTTGCAAAAACATTAAAGCGTTTATAAAAAACAACGTTTGTTTTTTAGGTAAGAGACCTGAAACACTGCCAAGTGAAAATATTCTAGGTAGACTTGAAACTCAATTGTGGTGGTAATTAATTATTAATCTTAAAGGATTGAGATCAAACTACCTGCCAGACTACTGCCCAGCGCATCCAGTAGTTTCACCTTTCTGGCTTAAATGTTTCCACATGCCATGGAGCCAAAGACTGATTGAAAGTAAATTAGGATGTTTTACTCACTGATATATGGAAGGTGGAAACAGGAATCATCAACAAACTGCAGAAGATTAGTTTTATTTGCTTTTACTCTTAAATGAAACTTCCATGAGAAATGTCCGATTTGAATAAACCGAGGGAAAGAGTGTGACCTAAACTAGTATAAAACATCAATTCAGTACATTTCTATTTGGTTGGTTATGTACTGTAGGTAAGCCGGAAAGCTTGTAGAGGTATGCAATAAATATGTGACCATTGAACCTGAAGCAAATATTTTTCTTTTTAGACTGCAGAACAATAGAAATTTCTGGGGGGCGCCTATGAAAGGTATTCATGAAGGCTGATTTGGTCTTATTGGTCTTCAGGGTTGGGCGACATGTACTTTTGGGGTTTTGCACTTGATTGTGTGACTCGGAACCTCGGGGTTTGGACTCCAAACTTAAGGTTCACGGTTTTATTCTCTCCCACCACTACATACTGCTGATGATTTTCACCAAGAATGAAACCGAATTTTACAGCTCCTTGTCGGCTTTTACACTGATTTGACATCAGATTGAAGAGACAGAAAGTTAACTCCCATCAAAAGCCTCTCTATTAATCGGGTCTTTGAGAACAGCGTGACGAACAAGCTCGTTTTCAGTTAGTTTAATCATGCAATTACATAGCGTTAAATATTATTAAAAATAAGAACAGACAAGAAATAATAGATTCGAGTTCTAATGGTTCGGCTTCTGTGTGTGCACGTGTGATTGTATCAAATTGATCGCAGTGTTGAAGTTCAAGTGATTGTACACGTGTTAGAGTGGATGGAGTGGACCAAGGAAGATTAATTGCATACACAAATTTCTTCTGAGAAAACAAAGGAGGGTGTGTGTGAATACAAATATTTACGGCTTCAGCCGTGGCTAAGATACGATGCTTCACTGCTCTTGATTGCCTACATCGAACTTTGTAAATCGGTTGGAACGCGCTTGCTACATCCACCGAGAGATTTGACTCAACGAGCTGCGAACACACCGCGCTTGTAATTGTCTGAATTGTTCCAGTCTTCGGCCAAATCGAGTGGTTTTCCCGAACACAATCGGCTGAGTGCCTGATCGTGCGGCCAATGCACCCAGTTTCACAGGAACAGGTGAGTGGGTACACACAATGAGGCTACAGAATATGACACCTGTCTTTCAGTCAGAAACACATAATCGGTTTAGATGAGAACACAGCAGATATACAGAATTCTTCGCTGCTCCTATCTCTTTTGGCCGTTCTTCGTGTTCTAGCATTGCCCTATCAATACGTCATTCGGGGCAGCCATTCTGTACAAAAACAGTACATAAGAACTGAAGCTCACTGTCGATGATGTCCGTCGTGAATATTTTCTTCGCTCTCTGAACCAAAGAGCGAACTAGATTTCTCTTCCTCTGAAGAGGGACAAAACTATAGAAATGGATACATTGTCCATTCCACGTTGCTTTCCTATGCACCGATAGCTAGACGGAGTTATTGCTACGGCGTCTTCTGAGTACGTCTAGGAAGGCTAGACTTTTTTTCCAGAGTAAAGTTCACGTTCGGATGGACATTATTGAATTCTTCGAGCAACCAGTTGTTGTTTACACTTGAATCTGCTATACATAATATATTACCAGTGTATCGTCTGTACAGGGTTCATTGACTAATATGAGGCTCCAGGGATTGTTCTTAAGTTTCGGTGTCGGCGAGTATTGGTCCTAAAGGTGACCCCATTGCAACCCCACGCGACCCAACGCTTTTGTTCTCAGTGTGTTATGTAGGGATGATGAAGCGTTTGAATTAGATGTTTCATAAAGATTTTGAAAAACAATTGAGTTTCGCATAAAAACTGACTATTATTTAAGATGAATAATAGGCAAACTTAAACTGATAATTAGGGTTAGCCTCGTTACAGCCCACTGATAAACGACCACCTCTCACGCAAAAGTCAGTGGTGAACATTAACCATTGATGAAGAGAGTAAAACTCAAACATAGTGCTTCTCAAGTGGATGAAACAAGAATTTTGAATTAGGATGAATTTCAAAAGATAGTCAAATCAATTTGATTCAATTCACCTGTTGCATACACGTAAATAATTATATAATTAGTTGAGCAATAAAAATGGTTCATATCTAGTTCAAAAGAGCACTTCAGTATATGTATTTTAGGGCATTTATTGCCTACGGGCAACTTTCCTAGTCCTAGCTGTGGATAACACAAAATAACTGAATTTCAATTCGTTGGATAAATACGGCAAGTTTATTCCAATGATTCAGCAATATTTAACGTATCATATTTAGTGTTTATGGCATGATCGCGATTCTCGGTTTTCCTTGTAAATTTTAGTCACAGTCACAGCTTTTGCTGCAAACTTAACCGAACAAAAAATTAACCTTCATTTATCATGATTTTAATATAATACAAAACACCCTGAATAACAATGACTTTCAAGTGCCATTTTGATTTTGTTGCGATGGGTTTTATTGCTGGCGTTATTTTTGTACCCATTTATTGTCATATCTTTAATGTTGATAAAAATTTTCATTAATACGCGCTCAGTTTTTGAATGCGTTTACAACAGTATTGTATTTAGTAGTCTTTTAATTTACTAGCTTCCATCGGTTCAGATTAGCTCTACTTTAGCCTCTTTATGTGTATTTTAACACATGAATTGTGAGAGTCAATTGCATGACCTCTTGTTCTGAAATCCTGTGCATTAGTTCTTACTACGTCCCGTTTAGCACCAAATCTTCCGTGCGTACAAAAACAGATAAAAAAGAGTCAAAATATGAAGCAGAATACAGCTCTCTTGACCCTCTTTGGATGAATTTTCAGCCGCATACTAGGTGAAGTATTCTCGTCGTCGAATACCATCACAGAAGAAGCAGAAGGGATATGTTATCTAAATATGAAGTTATCATTCCAGAGATTATACATGTCAAGTATCTAAAAAGAATAAGGAATGACAGAAACGGTAAGCATTAGTTCTAGTACAAAAAGCGTTTATCGCTACCAGGTTATTTGAAGAGGAGACTTATTGATCATAAACATCCATCTTTGTATAAAATGGATGTAAACTGTTGCTGCATAAAGTTTCACTGATAAGCTTATCAGCAACAAATCAAAAATCAAATGCTAGTGAGGTATACCGCTTGTATAAGATGTAGTTTTGACAGACTGATGCAAAAACGAGTGGTGTTTAATTCAGAGAACAGTAAAAATCACTGGAAAGTAATGAATGCACGTTACAGATCAAAACTTCACAAAACAGACTGGTGCAGTGGAATCGTTATGATACGTTACTGTGCGATAACAATTACGAAAACATATTACATCTATTGTGTTGATTGGTTTTAAAGACCACGTTTATGCTGATTAATATATTCTGATGCTATTTTGAAAATTCTCAATTTGACTAATACAATCTAACTTGCATTGATGACGGGGAAAGGGACTAAATTTAAGCCTAACGGGAGTCGGAACAGATGTGTGATTGAGTCTAGAGTTGCTGTTGTTGAAAGCTCAAGCAGTCACAGTTCACTCCACAGACAATCCCGAAGTTGATTGGGGAGTCAGAAGACTGGATCTTTTATCAACTTCGATAAAACATTTACCAGTATTTTTTGTATGCTCCTTAATTAAGCATGATCAGCTATTCCATAACATGAGATTATGAGTATGAGAACGAATGAAAAAGAGATACGAACAACATTTCACAGTAGACCAAGTATGATATGCCATAGTTATGAAATACACGGTAAGTGAATTGAGAATGACTATTGCTTTCATCGTTCAAGCGTCTTGTCTAATTCGCTGCCAACGAATCTTTCACATGCCCATTTACTCTCTGGAGATTATGGTCACGTCTAACAGGTACCAGACAAGTAATCAATCGGATCTATTAACTCAATCGGCTACTGATGTGAACATTCATTTCTGAACTTTCCACTGCTGTTCCCTTGTGAGGAGTCACTATTGGTACTTTTTCCCACTTGGGTTCGGTTACCATTATTGTTTTGTGCCCACAGGTCAATGATTCATCTTGCCATTTGCATTTTAAGCAACGCTCTTTAAACCGTGCAATTCACCACTAGGAGACCCTGCTATCCTGATTGATTGAAAGTTGTTTCATACTTTCAAGGGGAAGGGGTAGTCTATTCAACTGTGGTTGTTTCTACTCAGAAACTAGGGTAGTTAATACCAAGCCCCATCGCTACATTTTATTGGAACTCTTTGGCGATGCTCTCACCCAATATCACCAACCCTTGTGGTAGTATGTCTCATGCAGACACCTGACTTGTTTCCAGCTTGAAAGTTTACTCTATACGCACATTATTGCAACTGAGCAGAATTTTCCATTTGCTCATACCGGGGCAATGTTTGTACCCCAATACAATTTTTAAACGTTTGTATCAGTCTCAAGTTCTGTGCTTACTTACTGTCAATGATTGATTGTTAGTGCTCGTTCGCTCACTTCCACAATGCCTTTACCTCCAAAAACACATGTTCCTATCTGATCACTTAAGTGTGAGTGATAAAAAAATATTTCACTTTCTAAATCAGTACGGATATCGGCTTCCAGAACAAGAAGCGTCCATATTCTATGTGGATGTGACCTTTCCGGGATTCGGAACCAATCGACAATTCACCTATCCCAGTTGCTGCTTGACAATGCTTGGGCGGAATTCCACGGAACTGCCACGAAAATTTAGGGACGATGGAACAGAGGCAGTAAAACAATTCTTAATTGATTTAAATCGTCTTATTCCGCGGATTTTGGATTCCGAATTTTGCAAGATTGGCAGTGTTTTGCACATGGCTCTAGATTGTTTGCACCCGTTCAAATCAATTCAAACTGCATCGTCGGCGATGATACAGCTTGCCACTGAACATAAGCAACAGAGTTTGATTGGTTCGGTGAAATCTAATGTGAGTCGCTTTGTGTATACTTTCGGCCATTTTTTAAACCTAGAGGTAGTAATGCATGTCGAATTCGCGGAGTTAAATTTTTTGTTATCTGACGGTCCTTTTCAATAAGGTTCACATAACCACTTGTNGTAGTTTTGTAACCTGGTCTTGGTTGGTTTATTTGGTGGTCAGTTTGGTTGGCCGATGAATAGAAAAGTAAAAACCCCAAATCGGTACACAGGGGAAAAACATATAGTTCCGGTAATCTAAAAGTGTTTAGAGCGTAAGTACTAATTTACTGTTTACGACAAATCCCATAATCCGGTGCCACTAGCCATTGATTAACCTTTTATCTCAGTCCCCATCAGTCACCTAACGCTACCTATAGCAGGGGTTTTCATACATGCATAGTAGGTGATATTCTAACCATGTTTGGCCTTATTATAACTATTCACTCCCCACTCCCCATTCACTGTCTTTTTCGCAAACGTTCACACCTGTTTTATTCACACTGGACTAACACATTTTATATCCTCTCCAGTTCACACATTTTTCATTCCACTTTTCCCTATCCACTTATCGTGATCCCATAGCTTATTATAACTATTTTCTCCCTCAGTAAACATGGATGGAGCCTATCTGATGGCAGGATAAGTATTAAACCCACCTACGATGAGCAAACAATTGCATCTATCGGTGTCCGCGATTAACTAAACCTCCGTATCTAACATCGGTATTACTTTATCGGATGTTCCACTCGACTCACAAAGTGAGTTAAAGACCGCGTAGTTTGAACATTGAAGGTTTACCACTAGTAGTAGTCACGCTTTTGCGTCAAGCACCGTCATCGATTTTAAGCTGCTATACTGAAGATGCCTCAAGTTGAAGAACGTCGATCAAGCCCTCGAATTGCGTTTCGATTGTTTATCCGAGAGTTGTCTGCCTGGATTAACCCTTACTTCATTCGATAAGAATTCAAGAATGAGGTCTACTCGATGGAAACCAATCAGACATGCATATCTGATAAGCGGTCAGAAAGGCGATAACTATAACTTGCTTCTGGAAAAGTTTGCCCAATTTTTCATATACAAGGTATTATATAAGAGCCTAGAGCCTTATACAAGGCCTTATAATTCCAAAGCGAACAAAAGTCGGATATTTATTAATTCAGATATATGATCATTCGGAGGTGATCAGGGTGAAAAAGAATTGCATGCATGCTCAGAAAATTGCCGAACATATACCCAAAGGGGTGTATTTCAGTGGATTTGCCCTGCAGTTGGGGCAGGGAATGTGGCCACAATGCTGACCACTCTCAAAAGGAACACAATAACGCCAATGACTTTTCGTTCTGTGCTTATACAGAGAATTCAAAATATTCAAGTTATTTTACTTCACGAACAACTAATCGGGGAAATTCAAGTGATGATTTTTGATATTTACAAACTACAATAGCTCTGCGGAGTATGAAATGGGGATAGTTTATTTAGTTGATGGTTTTACTTAATCCAATTAAATGCTCACTGTTTTTCTCAAATTCTCAAATATCGGTTGATTACTGGGTGAACTTACCGATTCACTCAGTTATTGCTTAAAAAAATAATTGTCCTGTTGACCTGAGTCAGTTACAAAGTAATATTTCGTCAGGTTTTCACATCAAGAGGGACAAAGCTGTTTTTAATGGTTAACTGGATATTACATAACCATTTTCAACTCTCTTTCCACCACGGCTAAGCGTTTTCCATTACGTAAGTGTTTCTGTGCTAACCTTTCTCTCCTCCTCTTTCACCCATACCCAAATGACTTTGGCAATGACTCAACAACCCAGTAATTTATGCCTGAACCCATGTAATTATGTAAATGTCCACATATGATATTCCTATTGATAAAACTCGACCTATTGATTGTGCGCAGACAGCTGGTTGAGAGCACGCGAAATCGATGGCCAATATACAATCTGCTCATATTGTGTTACTTGTTCTATTTTATATATATAGTACAAAAGCACAATCAAGATACTGAGGAATTTTCTTGTTATGTTCTCGTGAATTCAATAGGCTGAGTCAACTGAGGAACCATCAGACACATCCGAATCCAACAAACCATTGAAGACTCCTTCTATCGAGGAACAGAGAAGCACTCAATGGGATGATGACGAATTATTTCTATCAGCTGTTCAGTCCATCGTAAACAATTGCAATATGGCATTTGGTGACGATACCCATGAAAGCAGAACTTTGAACCCAAGGATCTTCGCTCAAGATAATACACCTGTTGAGGATGAGCGCATTATTGTGAATAAAGAGGAGGAAAAAGAAAAACAGACATTTCCAAACGCTATGCAAGAAAGAACGGACGAATCCACCGAATCAATCACAAAATTAAAAGAAAATTCAATAAACAATGACTCAAGTAGCGTAAAAAGGAATCCCGGTGTGGAAAACGTTCAACGCAAGTTTATTGCTCCTAAACGAGTGCTACAGACTAGTGAGGAATGTAACTTGATCCACAAGATCCCCAAAAGTTCCGTCTATTTGAGCGAATCGACCGAACAGACTGAACTGGTAAATTTCATCCGAAGAATGCACGGTTCAGTTTTACGTGTTGGAATGAGCAAAAAGCGCCCCACTGTGGTGTACAGTCAACTAGTAAAGCGTGAACCATAACATTCTGAGCATGTGATAGTTCAGTTGACAACAGACGTTCGAAACTCCCATACTTGCACCCTAACCACGCTTTTGTGTATGTTTTCTATACATAATACAAATATCTCGCATTTATGAAAGTTACCAAGTCCCAAAGATAGCATTTAGAACAAACACAATTTGGTGAAATAATTGTTTTTCATTGTTCTATTTTGCTTTCGCAAGCCGTCTACAGATTGCATCGGTAACATTAGAAAAGCAGATCACACAGTTAGACACAACACCAACAATCATGGGAAAGAGTTTGTCGTGGTCAAATTGCTTTGTCATTTGATTAGTTTAACCAGGTTACGGTCGCAGGGTGACTGGCGGCGGACACAATCGGGCCTGATCGAACACGGGCCATGGATGTTGGAGTGACTGAACTAAACTAAACCTTTTTGGGCACAGAGGTCAGGGGTCAACTTTCTTATCACTAACGCGAATTGAGGTGGTGGGGGGGAGACGATCAGAATAAATTAGTTCGAATAAGAAAACACTTCCAACTCCATTGGTGTTTGAAGTGAAACAAACGACGAATGTTCTAACTACAAGAACGAGAGTTAAATTTAATAAAGATGATTGAGGAAAAAATGAGAGATAATATTTCCAAGTCCACCCTGTACCAACCTTATATTGGCGATATTTTGATTCTTACAGATGCAGAACATTTTAAACACATTTGCAGCATTTTAACTGAGCCCATCTACATCTCACTGTATTTCATGAAGTAGAAACCAATAACAGTAGCGTTTTTATACACAAAAGTTACGAGGCGAATAAATGGGACACTACCGAAAAACGACATGAAATGACCAATATCTACAGTTTTCCAGAATTTCCCCCATGGATTACAGACGTGGGGTATTTCATCAGGCGAGAAACATTTGTTCTCCAGATACACTAAACAATGGTTACCCAGGAAGGTTTATAGATATTCACAGTAGACCATTCCCGAAAGGTAACCTAATCCCAAAGGTTGGCAAAAAGACCGTCCGTTTAAAGCTTGCGTTCAAAGGTGACCACATTTACAATGATGTGCGCCATATGTTGACCGTACATGTAGACCGTACATTCCCAGCTGCTCAACTCAGACTCATTGCCTCTACTCCTGGAATTGATTTGGACAAACATAAACATGGCTGGCCGTTTCTGTCTCACCCGTTCACCTGCAGTTGGGATGACATAGGCAGAACAAACCACCAGCTCTCGCAGCGGATGGCCGGACCTATTCCAAAGTGGTTGGTGAAATCGATGACGCAACCGATATTTGATGGTCAAGTGATCACAAGAAATCCAGGGTCATCTGTTGGAAAACGTATCGTGATAACAAGACACACAGTTGACCCAAATTCGTCTTTCAAACCACATTTACGTAATCTCACTGCGAAACTCTTGGCAATTAGTGAAGCACTGCTTAGTCGATAACATCACCCGACTTTATGCGCACAAAAGTTTTTGATACAATCAATGCACTTACCGTGGGTGGAGTGGGGAGTTGTTTATTCTTATCGCTATCGCCTCTGCTGTAGATAGCAATCAGGCTTAACACCCTTGACCGGATCCCTTTCATTGAATAGATTAGGTGGAACGATCCCCACACAACCACGGTAAGATTCGTTTCGGCCAGATTTATAGCAACCGCACTCGCACTTGCCCTAAACGGTCCCCCGACCGAGCCAAGCTGGCTGATGTTCTCTCGCTCAATCGGCTAGGCGTCTGGTTTTGCTACCTACGTAACTTGCGCCAAGGAGCGAGTAAACTGGTAGACACAGAGAGGTCATCTCCATCGCTAGCCTGGCCTGTCTTTTCTGTAATAGGCGAGCTGATTTGAAAGAGGAGAATATGCACAATTCCTTTGAGAAATAACTATTTTCACTACACTCCTATGTCGTTTAATCATTGTCCTCGCGAGAGTTTCCTCTTTGAAAGACAATGAAATAGAACACTATTTCAAAGGTGAATTCGTCGTGTATATAGCAAATGAAGCGTGTACTGAAAGGCTAGGAAGCACTGAACAGCTGTTTCGACCTGATTGGGTCTCATCAGCAGTGCGAATTCATTAACCCCAATGGGGATCGAACCCCGGACCTCATGGGCAGAACGCAAGAATGCTACCCACTCGGCCACCAAG